GAAAACAAAGGCACTGCGCATGCGCGTTTTACTCATATTCTATCGCGATATTTCATTTTCCTATCGTTGCCTAACTTTATACCGGTATTATCGTGAACGGTATAATATGGCCTAGCCCTATCGTGGAGCACCTACGGCCCACTTTGACCTTAACTCATCATTCTGTCAGTGTAAAGAAATTACATATTTAACAGTTTTTCTACATGATAAAGAAAAAAACTGCTGTTACAAAGAAGAAGAAAAAAATCGGTCAGCAAAACTCAGACACTGAGCCATGGCTCTGTACTACATGCACACATTTGTCCATTTCTGCCATTCAAAGACACTGTGTGTAGTTTATTTTATGTAGAATTTAAAACTGAACTGTAAATTTAGTCAATTTAGCAATTTTTCAGTGTTTTTTATTCAGTGTAAAAGCCTTATTTTCATGGATTTGATACTACTAGGGAGAATATGAGGTTTAAAGCCTGGACACCGTTTGTCATGTGCAATGGAAAGATGTGATAAATTCTGCACTCAGCTTTGCAGTCTCCAGTATCATTGAAATGCAGCCAGATGCTGCTTATTTTATGTTTTTGCTCCTTTTCTTCACTTTTTCTCTCTGCGTACCCGGCCTGTACCACTACACTTGCTGTCTTCAGGACGTCTTCCCCTCTTCCTTCTTTCACATAATGGTATGATCCCAGTTTGTCTTTGCATGTGAATGACTGCTTGATGTGCCAATCAAAGTAAAGTCGCGCCTCTGCCTGCATGGATTCTCAGCACAGCTGAAGATTCAGCTCCACATACCAACATGTCATTATTAACTTACACATGAAATTATCTTGTGGGCCGAATATATTTTTATTGCAGGCTAGATGTGGCCCGTGGGCCACATGTTTGACACCCCTGATCACGAGCATTCAAACCTAGGGTAAATCTCAATCACCCCAGATGTCGTGCAGTCAGAGAGTTATTTAACTCCCTCAGTGACAGCCACAAGGATGTGAGAGATGCCCCCTTTTTTTCCAGCTTCTTCTTCCACTATAGGAAGAAGGGGATTCAGGAGCTACTTAAGTAATTTAAGTACTCTTTTCACCATCCAATGACACAGTTAGGTCCATAAATATTTGGACAGAGACAACTTTTTTCTAATTTTGGATAAGATTGCATAAAAATGTGAGGAACTAGAGCATTTTTAACACAATCCCTTCATTTCAGGGGCTCTAAAGTAACCGGACAAATTAAGTTAATGCAAAATAACAGATTTTTTGCAGTAAAATATTACGTACACACCTCGTGTATTTTAAACGGTAGATATATTAAAAAACACATTTAGTAGCAAGTAACTATGTAGCTTTTTATAAAAGACCAATAAAAGCCAATGGAATGGGGAAAATGTGATGCCACTGTAAGAAAATTTTTAAAAAGATAAGCCAGTCTCACCCAGGGAAAAGCCATCCTTGTGGACAAGCCATACTTTATCTGATTCATACCAGGCCTGCTCTGCTGCAATCTGTTCCTCAGTCTTCACCTAAAAAGGACAAAGGTCAGAATTAGAGGACAGCAGGGGAAATTATACCTGTGGACCACTCACAGCAACATGTGTTTTTTTTTAAACATTTGAATTTCCAGTGAGATATCAGGACATGCTGAAAGGATGCAATTAAAGCTTTTCAAAATAATGATCATGTGATTGACTGATCAGGCTTGTATGAAGAATGTGTGAGGACATTTGCGTTTGTCAAACGGCAGTTCAGTAGCAACCCCTGGTATCTAAAATGCCAGAGAGCAGCTTGGTTCAGCCCAATATTCATAACAACATGAAAGAACACAAACACATAAGGAACCAAGAATGAAAGTGTAAAACAAAGTAAACTGGAAACAAGCACAAAAAAAACTAGGGTGTTCCTATTGATGACTTCTTACATTTTACTACATTTTAACAGGAAACATGAATAGGGAACACTGCACTTTGCAAGCACGAGCACAATGCAGCACAACACAAGGGATGAGCTGGTGATTTTGTCACACTCAGGCATAGTGCAGTCCACACCTGGGATTGCTTAGCTGCAGCATGAGATGCTTGGAGAGCAATAAGATCCTCTTCTACTGATCCCTGGTGATTTTGCCAGCATGAGAAGGTTAAAGGTCACAGTTATACATAAGCAATATATGTTAAAACAGACGGACATATACAAACAAATACACAGATAAAATGAAATACATCTGCACAGCTGTAGACAACGTCACTGCAACAGATGCTCTACATATCCAGAATATATGAGAAAGAGAAATTAAGTCTACTCACTATGCATGATCATCGATTAAAAGTACTGCTTGAATGTTACATTTTGAAAGTTTCACAGGTCACTAAAACATGATGATTATATGACAGCAAAAAGGCCTCATTCATAAAGACTCTAAAGACATTGCCTTTGATAGAAAGCACTTCCATAGAAAGAGCGAAGAAAAAAGTGCTTGTGTGAATGGGTGGGAATAGGTGAATGATGAAAGTAGTGTAAAGTGCTTTGAGTGCTCAGAGCAAAAAAAACACTATCAAGACCCGATCCATTTACCAATTTCATAATCCTACACCACCTTGTTCTCAAGTTACCACATTCACAGAAAACTTACTCTGACCTTTAGGTTGAGATCACTGAGATTCAACCTCGTCCGCGATTTTGTTGATGCACCTATGGTATCAATCTGAAAATCCTAGATGAATTCCTTCTTGAGTTATTGCATTCACAAGATGTTTAGAAAACTTGACCGATATTCAAACTCATCTGAGATTTTTAGTAGACGCACCCACGGTGTACGTCATGACAATACAATGGGAAGAAAACTGAAAATGCCAACAGTGAAGTTCAGACTTTTTATACCGATAAAGAACAAGGAAATTTGATTAGTATATGAAGGCTGAGCAATAGGTTATAGGCTACTGGCCACTTCAGCCAGCCATCAATGACAAAGCCCTGGAGTTCTGTGCTCATGACAAATTAGTGAACACAGTTGTCAAACAATCTGTGATGAAGGCTGCAAGTGACAGCCTCCTCACTGCTTCATGTATTTCAATTAACTTTTTTATCTGCTTAAAACCAAAAAATCCCAAATAGATGATTAGAACTTATTTTCATAACAAGCTCTTTCATGATTGCATTTACTAAAAAACACGTGCCAAGTAGGAACTCCCTGCCCAGCCCCCCATGTGCCACACATACCACTCTGTGAATATGTTGACAATTCTGGAAATTATTAATTTAATAACCCAACCTAATATCCAACTATCTGCAGGTTATTATATCACTTTAGCATTCCTGTATAATGTCTTAATATAATGTCTGCTCTCATCTTTAGAAAGACTTTATCCAGTTTAGCATGCCTGAATTGAAGGACTAACACTATATTGTAAGAAAAAGTCCTTGAAAGCCTGAAATACAACTCTGATTCCAAAAATGTTGGGATGCTGTACAATAGCAGAAGTACAGCAGAACACAGAAAACACATCACATGTTGAAACTGAGAAAATCTACTCTTTTAAGGAAAGAATTGAGGTCATTTTGAACTTGATAGCAATAGGTCAAAAAATGCAGGACAGGGTAAAGGTTACCACTGTTTACAGGCTCATTCTACAAGTGTCTGCAAACTGAGGAGACCAGTTATTGGATTTTTGTATTTAGTACCATTTACTTTTCCAGCCTATTGTTCTTCAAAGTGGCCTTATTTGTTTCTTAACATGTTATAATTTGGGTTTGCCTTCTTTTTAATATAAATTTTACTTAGGATTTGCAGTTGCAGAGAGAGAGGGAGACAGAGAGGGAGGGAGGGGGGGG